ATACAGGGATATTATAAGTAAGCCTCAACAATTTGCATGTTACACTGCCACTTTATGCAAAACAATGCCGAGAACCCAAATAGACCTCAAATGAAAATATGATTACAGCTGTTGCATTAGTTTTGAATTAATTAACTTTGGTAATAAAGTTGGCAAAGATTCGAATTAACGTATACTTTCTTCATACATTTTTTTAACTTGTTTTCTTTAACTCAGGGCATTCCCCTTTTGTGATAATTTGGAATTATCACTTTCGTTTTCAACAGAGTAGTATAATTCCAAGCAAGCATCTCACCAGCATTTGTTCTTTACTTATTATAATCATTATTATGCTGCTAATCGAGATTCTGAAATTGCATGTGGGTGTATGTGTATTTACGTTTATATATTGTTACATATTTAGTGTCATACTCATGTTACACAAATATTTGTGATTTAAATAAATGTTTCTTTTTGTGCAGTTCATCCAGTTGAAGAGTGCAGTGACACTCAATGATATAACTGCAGGGAGGAAGGTTGTATCGTGAAGGTGAAGTGTGTGAGAACGTGATTCCCACAGAATTATTGTCATTGTACATACAACATTCATGATTGTCTAATATGTATTTCTGATTGAGAATTACGCATTTACGAATTTGAACTGATAAAAAGAATAAGAGAACTATTGAAGGAAAGTGTACACCTTTTCTTAATTAAAAATGCCATGATTCTTTCAAACATAATTTAGGAGACTGAAACGTAACCACTGTGAATAATCGAAGAGGATTATAAGTTTGTTTTTTGACATTCTACCTGTATTATAATGAAATATTACAATTTACTTCTGTGTATAAATGCCATCTTAAAAGTCATTATTTGTTATTTTTGTGCTAATGTGCTCATGTCTCTTGTTTGCACATTCATTGAGAAGAGTCAGAATATGGGTTTTGTAATTTTAATAAGAGTATTCATTTGAGGCATTAATACTGTGATATACTTTCACTTAGATAAGTGTATCTGTAGTGTTAAAAAGAGACTCTTGTTCAAAACAAAGTAAATTTTAAATAAATATTATCTGTCGGACCGTGTATTGTGACTCCTCTGGTTTACTGAATTTCACCATGCACATATGCCAGTACATTGTTTACATGCTAATACATATTCATAGAATGTGTGAAGTGTGGTGGTGAGAAATACCATGTACATTCTGAGTTGTCATGACTGTATATATGTAACATAAATGCAGGAATATGAAATGTCATTAATTGTATGATTGTTTGGAGAGAAGTAAAGTGTTACATGTTATATTTTGATTTGTTTTTCAATTTAATCTGAGGTTTAATCATAAGTAATAGGATACTTGTCATAGAATTCCCATGTCAATGATTTAGCTTGAAATATTGGAAAGATTTTTGTGTGAGGAGACTGTGACACGGAGACAATCACGATTTGGAGCTGCAGAATGCCTTGAATCTAAAGGCAAGGATATGCCTTGAATCTACATAATACAGGCAGCATTAAAGCATTGAATACACTGCTTTTTAGGAATATTATAATTATTGATTAATATAAGATGAAATTATAAAAGAAGATTTAAAAACTTACTCAGCCATTGACTCTGGCTCGCTACAGACTGTGCAGCCATAACTTGCCAGTGCATGATAAATTACGTCATTCATATTCAGGGATCATGATGGGCGAGGCAAGGCTGGTGCACACCAGTCAGCAACACTGAGGTTCCTAAAGTCAAGGGCCCCAAATGAGGACCCCACAGATATTTCATTGTTTGTTCGGTTGTTTTTTTTTTGGGGGGGGGTTCTTTTGATGACATTGTGTAGAAGGAGAAAACTCAAAGTAGGACTTCCCCTGAATATATTTTTCCTCTTTTATTCCCTTGTACACTTTAGAATATGGTACAAAGAAACTATTACACCAATCAAGTTAGATTTTCAAAGAATTGGTATCAGTAACTCTTTTAGCCATCTGGTGAAATCGTATATACATTGACCAACAGATTTTGTATAAGCCGGTTGTTTTTTATCTTAATTACTCGCATTATTCTGTTTGTCTTGGACTTAGCACCAGTTGCACTCATATTACAGCATAGAGGAAAGACCTCTTTCCTAAATAATTGCAGGTCGTTTGCCAGTCTAATACTGTCAACTTTAAGCCAGTCTAATACTTCCATTGGTATATTGTTTATTTATTTTTATTTTATTTTCAATTTAATGGACAATTTGTCAAAATTATTACGGATATTACAGGTAAATAATTACAACTTAATATGTCAAACTACACTAATATATATATATATATATATATATATATATATATATACTAAAGAAGATGCTAGTTTTAAATAAGCTTGTATTTGACAGTAATATAGAAAATAAAACAAAAGAGTGAAGCAATAGAATGAAATTCCCAGGAAAATTGAGAAAATAAAGAGAATCCTAAAAACATTAATTACTTAGTATAAGGAATCATTCCAAATTAAAAAGTTTACTCTTTATATCTTTGGGGAATGCTGCATAATTTCACCAAACACATCTTTCTTTTCTGTAACTGCTTGATTTGCAATAATGAAGCAACAAAGCTTCGTATCAAAATGGAGAGAAGAAAGACTAAACAAACACATAGGTTCCGAGTCTTTTTCGACATGGTTGATTCAACAGACTTCTGTAGCTCCTAGTGACATCATGATGGCCAAAGTAAAGACATTTTAACAGGTAAGAATGAAAATTCTCATTCACAAACACTTAAATTTTTGAAAAGAAAACAAAGAACCACAGTTTTTAACTGGATTATGAAAAATTGAAACTAGTAGAACTTTTATAAATTTCAATGCATTACTTGAAATATTACTATTGTGTGAATATACAGAGAATTATGATATTGATAATTGTCAAAATCACTTTCGTGATCTCGTATAATGTATCATTTCATTGTAACACAATGTTCAATTTAATATTTGTCTGCGTAGTTTACACTCCTGCATCACAAAATCAGTGAAATTTTATTTTGAATTCTAAACATTTATTCCTTAAAATA